GGGGGGGGGGGGAGAAAACGGAGAGGAACAGGAAGTGGCCGTCGCTTTTTACAGTCCCCCTTCAGCTTCCCCCATTCCAAATTACGATTGGAGCGAGTCTTTCTAGGAAACGTTTGCAGTGGGGTAGTGCTGCGGGCTTATTGCAGCAAAAGAGGAGTTGCAAAAACCACGAAGCGTAGGTGTTGCTCCAGGAGAGGGCGGGAACCCCAGATCCACGCTTGTGCAATACTTTCTTAGCAGTCACCAACATTTCACGAAGATGTGCGAACTTTCAGGGCCTCCCACAATCCCGGCTGGATCAGGCCAGGGGTTCATCTACTCCAGCCCTTCGTTCATACAGTGGCCAAGCCTGGGAAGCTGCAAGGACATCAGGACAACAGCACCTGTTCCACATTCCTCAGCACCTAGCAAGCACCAGCATACTGTTTCTGCTCCCAGACATTGCATACAGCCATGAGGACTAGCAGCATTTTCCTGTTTAACAGGATAAGAGCAGCCATGCTGAATTAGACCAAGGCCTATCTAATCCAGCCTTCTGTTCACACTGTGGCTAACCAGCTGTCCACTTGAAGCTAACACACAGGAAATGAGTGTAACAGCAACTGGCGTACCTAGTCTTACTGTTTACCTGGATTTCAGCAAGGCCTTTGACAAAGTGCCCCATGATATCCTGGTGGAGAAACTGAGGAGTTTTGGGATAGACCAATGCACTGTCCAATGGATTAGGGCATGGTTGATTGACCGAAAGCAGAGGGTAAGCATTAGTGGGGAATCATCAGGATGGTGGCCAGTGACAAGCAGGGTTCCTCAGGGCTCTGTCTTGGGGCCGATCCTGTTTAATCTTTTCATAAATGACATGGAAGAAGGGGTGAACAGTCCACTGATCAGATTCACAGACGATACTAAAACTGGAGCAGTGGCCACAATTGAGAAGCAGGTACTCCAGATCCAGAATGATCTGGACAGACTATGGAAGTGGGCAGGAGACAACAGGATGGCGTTCAATGTGGGTAAGTGCAAGGTCTTGCCCTTGGGGCATAGGAATGGGTGTTATAAGTACAGGTTGGGGGACAAATGGCTGGAGAGCAGCGCCTGTGAAAGGGACCTTGGGGTGCTGGTTGACTGCAGGCTAAACACGAGTCAGCAGTGTGATGCAGTGGTCAAGAGGGCGAACGTCACCCTTGGTTGCATAGCCAGAAGTGTGTCTTCTAGATCGAGAGAGGTATTACTACCACTCTACACGACTCTGGTGCACCCGCAGTTGGAGTATTGTGTTCAGTTTTGGGCCCCTCATTACAGAAAGGATACAGCCAGGTTAGAGTCAGTGCAGAGTAGGGCCACAAGGTTGGTGGTCATTTTGCAGGGGATGCCGTATGAGGCGAGACTGAGGGAACTGGGTCTCTTCAGCCTGGAGGAGACTCAGGGGGGATCTCTTGGCGACATACAGGTATGTGAGGGGATGTCACACAGAGGTGGGTAGAGACCTGTTCTCCCCTGCAGAGGAAGGCAGGACACGCTCCAACAGAGCAAAGTTCAGGGAACCAAGGTTCAAGGTAGATGCCAGGAAGCATTTCCTGACAGGACCCCGAGGGTGTGGAATGGGCTTCCACAGGAGGTCATTGAGGCCCCAACGGTGCGGGTGTTCAAAGATAGGCTGGACATGCACATGGTGGGCATGTCATGAGCGGAGCCGGCTGGTGCGGGGGGGTCAAACGAGATGGCCCGGGAGGCCCCTTCTGACTTGCTCTGTTTCTATGTTTCTATGCCTCAGGTACTGAAGGTGGCATGTGGCCCTGAGGATGACAGAATCTCGGTTTTCAGTCTGCGAGGAATGAACAGTCATTCGTGGGGAAAATCAAACCTTTAAACCTCTGCGGCTCAATACCTGCAGTAACTAACGATAATGCATTACTGGGTAGAGACAAACTCAACTACAAAATCACAGCCCATGTACTGACACTTTTATAACCTGCTAGTTAGCTTCCAGATAATGTTGGTACAATACCATGTTGATGTCTTTAGGCATGATATAATGTTCTAAACCAATCAGAAATACTGTAACAGTAGTATGGAATACATTACTGATTCCTGTATTGATAGGTCAGACTATCAAATTCTTGACAGTTCAAGTGTGTTTGCTTAAACATGCAGATGTGTCTGATTGAGGAACCATTCAGGAAAAGTGTTTGACAACTACACTGCAGGCGCTTCCCTCTGTGGAACTAGATGATTAAATGGATGCATTCAGAAACAAATGAGTGCCTTTGTCTCAGCTCCCTGCAGCTGATGGGAACACCCAGTGGGTATTTCCCCACTGATGGTATCAGCCTCCAGCAGTTTCTCAGTCCAGCCAAGGATGCCATATTCTTAAGGCAACAGCAGCGGTAAACAGTAACCCGGGTTGGAAATCTGCTGCTTTTTGAGAAAGAGGAGCAGGTTTGATTTTATAACGCAAAGGCACATATAAGCAACCTTTTCCTCACAGGGTTTTCCTGAATTTTCCCAACGAGGACTTTCTCTTCCAGGAAGTTCTGCAGAACTTTTCACCAATTGAGGTCAGCCTTTCCCCAGTCTGTCACCTTCCACATGTACCGAGTTCTCTCTCAGTACCCCACAGCTGCCTTGGCTCAAACTACAACACTGGGGCGCTACAGTGCCTGACCACACTGCCAGCCTTTTCAGCTGGTTGGGGATGCTGGAAATTGTAGTGCAACATGTCTAGAGGGAAAAGACTAGTCTAGGTGGTCCAAAAAGCAGGGCTGGGGGGAAGAGCCAGGAAAATCCATAAATTTGGCCATTTGCCATGTTTTGAGAGCTACAGTTCAGACAGGGGCTGCCTCAGAATGGAAATGCTTCTGAAGAGACAGACTGTGTCCTGCAAAGTGTAGGCCAGAATAAATATGTTAGTCTTCAAGGTGCCACATTGCCGTCAGCCATGTCGAGGAAGCCTGGCCCTGTGCAGACTGTTGTAACTCGCAGTTTTGCAGATGAGACCAGAGACCGGATGGTAAAAATAAAGAGGAGTTTATTTACCTGCAGGG